AGGGAAGGGGAGGGAGGGGGGGGAGGGAGGGAGGGAAGGTCCAAGCATGTATACCAGTGAGGCTTCAGAATCCATACAGTGACTGAATCATCTACTGTATTTAGGGAACTGCTATGGATTTGGCACAATTCACCATAAAATTCTGCAACACAAGTTGCACCGAAATAAATGGAAATACAGTGGTGTTACCATATCTTTGTGCAGCTCCCATTTATTTTAGGGAGGTTTGTGCAGAGGAGACTCTTAGAGTAATTTTTCCCCAACTGCTACTCTGCTAATCTGTTGGGATGGGAAACTTCAGAATTCCCAGCCACCATGGCTGAAGGGAATTCTAGGGATAGGAGATCTAACACATCTGGGACATCAGCAGGTTGCAAAAGGGGGTCTTCCTGGCTTGTGCAACACTATGTGTTCATTGTTGGGGTACTGCATATGCTATTCCTTTTCCAGTACATTTGCTAAACTCTGTTTCTAAGCTGATTTGTTCTTCATAATTGTTGATGTGCTTTGATAGTTTAAGACACCTTTGCTCATCATAATTAAACCTGATTTGGTTCTGCCTCTAATCTTTGCCTTTCCATTTTGGAATTAATAAATATTTTAGGAACAAGAGTCAAATCTTTTATTGCATGCTCCACTGTCAATTCATAATTAATTTTTTTTTTTAACTTTCTGAATGCCCATAGTAATACTACTCAACACCAAGAAATGTGTATGATAAAGAGCCATGCTTTGTATTTCTTGATTATTGATGTTGCTGTTTGGTCAGATTACCCAAATCTATATAAAGCTTTATTGATACATTAATAATTCTCTATGACTGAGCCATTCAGAGGCCCAAGAATGAATGAGAATAGTGACTGGTGAATATCTGCTTAGAAAAAGATCTGTTACAAATGCATGGTTTAAACATAAGTCTGTTTGAAGGTACCCTTGGCAAGGAATGAATTTAAATATGAAAGCATGATTGATTTCATTGTTTATGATGAAAGATTGAAAAAATGAGTGAAGAATACAAAAGTGATGAGAGATTCTAGATGTGAAGCAGACTATTTGTTATAGTGTCAAAGGAATATGTATCTATGAGTTTATGAAAAGAAATCCGCAATGTAGTCAGCTCATCTCTGTTTTCACCCAAAAGTGGTTAAGGCTTGCTCTGAATCCTGTTGCTGTTTTATGCCATCTGAGTGCATGCAAACACATGTTCTCTCCTAATCAAAGATCCTCTTTCAGTCAGCGTTTAAGCAGCAGCTAAAAGAAGATGCACTGGATTGTAAAATGCCTGGCAGCAGGTATTAAGAACTGAGTTAGAGCAGCTGCCCCTGTACAAAAACACAGGTGTTTGAAAGTTGTATGCAGTTTTATTCTGTCATATCCTTGTATATTAAACTAATATATATTGCTTGATATATGTAGTATGTATAGAGGTCTTGTAAATTAATCTTGATAAATTAACCTTGTCTATATTAACTTAATGGATTATACTGCACATTCCACAAACACGCAAATGCTTTTGGAAGGAGAATTTTTGGCCTTTTCCTAATCACTACAGGCCACTTTTTCTTCTGGCTGTTCTGGGATCCATAGCAAAAATTTAGGAGGAGGAGAGCTAAAAAAAGAGAGGAAACTCAGGAAAGAGTGGGCATGGGCAGTTTATGAAAGCAGAAGCTCTATTTAGAGAACAAATCCACTAAAGAAAGGAATGTACACAGTTTAAAAATAAGAGCAATTTAAATCAGAGGTATTTAACATATAGCAGGATCATGTCACTGGTAGAGCCTCAATGTTTCAAGCTCCCAGCTCTTTGAGATTCACATATTAAGTGCAGAAAGGCAGTCAATATATCTGGAACTGAAGGTGAGCTACAACCCAGAGTAACCTGCATTCCAGTTCTTTCTATTAGTTGGATAAAGTTGTATAAACATCCCCACTGCAGATATCCATGCTCAGTGCATAGTCATTTTTAATAAGCCCAGCAATGTGGTCCTTTTAGCTATTCAACATGGAAAAACACAGAAAATGATTAACTTAAGTGTAGTTCCCAGTTTTTTTCCCAGACAGCTCCTAGAGTTGAGCAAGATCTCTTCTTCCTCTCACTGAAGTCTTTAGAGTATTTAAGTTTCTAGTTTTTAAATGCTCACACATACAGCTTTTCATGTTTTTTAAATTTCTGTTGTAAGCCAACTAGACCCATTGGGAATGGACAAGTATAAATTTTATTAAATAAATAATGGTCTCTGGCTCATCCTTATCCTTATCCAATCAATCTTAACCTTTCAGATAGATTGGAACTGCAACTCTCAGATATATATACTAGTCTGCTTAAAAATTCTGGTAGCTGTCATCCCAAAGTATTGGAGGACAAGGATGTTTAGGTTATAGCTGTGCACTTCTCAGAACTGAGCACATGAAAGGACAAGGATGAATAGATCTTAGCTTCCCATATTTTCTTGGCATGGGGAATGACACTGGATTGTAGAAGTACATTTAAAAAAAACACAGTATTAAGGGATACTTTGAGAAGCAGTTGGCAGGTAAGAATGGTTTTATCATCCTTCCTCTAGCTCAAGGGTAGCAATATGGCATCCAGCATTTTTCCCAGGTTACCTCCCTTGGTATCACCAGGGTTTCTAATTCACCTAATTTTAAAAAAGTATTTTAATATTAAAAAATAAATAGGAAGCTGACATGTTGGAAGCATATTACCACCATCCTTACTCACATTAATGTCTTCACATAGGTATCACTGTATCAGTCCTTCCAGACTAAGTCATGTAGGCCAATACTACTTTTATTGTAACATTATGGTAACAAAATCTTGCAAGTCTGAACGTGTATCCCCCCTCCCTCCCTCCCTTTAACTTTGTGCAAACTAGGGATGGGCTTGTGTGAGACATTTACACATGCCACATTCCTGCCCCAGGCTCAGGTTTCATTTGTCTGACCATTGCCTTGACAGTACCTCTTCCTCCTGTTCCTCAAGGTGATTTCCCCTTCCCTCTACACGTTGGGATGAAAAAGAGCATCCTGAGGCTAATTTGCCTTCTGATAGTTGATTATTTTGTGACTGACAATATGTACGCATTTTGTGATTAGCAAAATTTGTATGAGAGCCATTTTGTGAGTGCAACAATATGAAGAATGCAACTGTGTGAAGAATGATTTGGGGGAACATCCACCTGGTATGTTAGGCTGAATATCTTTGTTCCTACTACTCCTTTTTTCTTTACTACCACCATCACTCTATGCCTGTTCCCATTACTGGGTCCTTTGATATAGCTCAACATATAAAGAATTACAAAGTAAAACTATTTTGGGACAGATCTCAACAAGCCATTGCTCTGTGTATCTTTAATTTAATGTTTTTGATTAAATGAAAATGAAACATGTACCCAGATCTTTTCCTGTCCCATTGCAAGCATTTTTTGTAAAGGCGAGATGTTTTAACCAGTACAGAAAGACATTCTATGTAAAAGTTATTTTGATTTCCTCCCACTTTTTAGCCCGTTTTCCTTCTTTTTTTTTTCCTTAACTTGATGAAACAGATGTTAGTGAATGTGAAAAATAAAACAACCCTGCTGATAAATCTTATAAGAGATAACAAAAGCCTCCCACATAAACTTGCTACTAGAATGAGGGCTAACTGGCTTATAACAGTCCTTGGCCTTTCCTTGGGAGAGTCAGAAGCAGGGCCAAATTGTGATGACAAACTGTGCTGTGGTTTTGTAAAAACTGCAAACAGCAGCTGCAGACCTACCAAACTGGATGTGTGCTTTTCTGGTTTGGTAACAAAATCCAGATTTCTTTTCTTGTATTTTTTTTTAGTTGAAGAGGAGATTGAACAACATAGAGGTCTTTTGTATATGTTCTCTGAAGTAACATCTTTTAATTTGCTAAAACAAAATAACAATTCAAACATTTTTGTGGAGCATTAACTTTTTATTTCTAATGCCTGTTAGAATATTTTACTGGTTCTGGTGGGATTACTTTGGTGGAACAGAAACACATTTTGATTTTCCATTTTGAATTTCCATTTCCATGCGTGGCTGTGTGGAAATCCTGTTTCCCACATCCATTCTCAGTTATTTTATTTCCCATATGCTGAAAGATTGTATCTTAAGAATATTGCTACTAATGGCTGAAATATATATTTTTTGCAAAAAATCTACCTTTTAATTAGCATATCTTCATTAAAAGCCTTAGCGGTACTCTACTAAGAATCTTTGATGCAGAATGCTGAGGCAGTAGTAATAAGTTCTTTTATTCTTAAAAGTCTAGGGGAAGTCCAACATTAAGTAATTCTCTGATTTACTGGCTTAGACTACCAGCATCAGGGTTTATCATAGGGTTTATCATAGCACTGGGCAAAGCAAATTCCTCTGGGTTAAGACACTGGCTTTCACACATCTCAGATTCCCATATATGTATTTGCTGTTAGCCTGTGTTTTCCTTAAAGGGTCTAATGTGGAGGCTAAGGCATTCTCAAGGCTTAACTTACTTGCTGTGTGGTGAATCCTGCCTGTGTTCTCGGTTTCAAACCTATGATCCTACTCAAGCAGGTAAAAGTATATTAGCCAACCTGGAATGGCTTTCTTGATGTATGTGTGACTATTACTTTCCCTTGTTCTTCTGTTTACTTCCAGATAAACTCAGTTTTACACCTGGATATTTGGCTAAATTGTTTTAAAAAGTGTCTCACTTAACTCTTTTTGATAGGGAAGAGTGCATGGCTAAAAATCTGTCCATAGCATTTGTTTTAAAAAGTGTCTCACTTAACTCAGTTTTACACCTGGATATTTGGCTAAATTGTTTTAAAAAGTGTCTCACTTAACTCTTTTTGATAGGGAAGAGTGCATGGCTAAAAATCTGTCCATAGCATTTGTTTTAAAAAGTGTCTCACTTAACTCAGTTTTACACCTGGATATTTGGCTAAATTGTTTTAAAAAGTGTCTCACTTAACTCTTTCTGACAGGAAGGAGTGCATGGCTAAAAATCTGTCCATAGCATTTTCCAAAGCTTTTTATTTTGTGTTGTTTTTTAGATTTCAATAAGAAGATCTGAAGTGCTTTCCAATTTTATATTTTCCTCTTTTGGGTGGATAGAAGGGATGATGTCTTATTAATAAGGCTCAGAAGGTATTAAAATAGCTGCTGTAGGTGTTGAGGCAAGGATTAACCTTCCATGGCAGCCAGCTGTTCATATGCAGGAACTGGACCATCATCCTCCCTTCTAGACCTGTAACAAACACGCAGTTATTTTAGGAAGCTGGCATATCTTACCTTCCCATTTTCCCATTATAATGCTATAAAGTACATTACATATTAGGCTGTTGTGACTAAATGGAAGACTGCATGATGTAACTGGATCAAATAATGCTTTTGTGTGAGTGTGTGTCTTCCATGAACAATCACATTTAAATCAATAATCTCTCCCAGATTTATTACGTTCCTCGGGGGCTAGAATTTGCTTGGATTTCTTAAAAAAGAAATGCAATGATAAAAAATATCGCAAAATTCATTAAAAGAAATGGAATTCCTGGAAATTATTGGTGATCAACTGTCCAAAATTTATCTGATGCTTCCCCCCCCCCCCAACAATTAATGTATTGTGTTTGCTGTTTGTTGTGCAGTGGATACTTTTAGCCTCAGACAAAGATCTACCTTTGAAGCTTTTTGTGTTTATTAAAATGTCTTACATGTTATATATTTATTGAATTGCCCACAATTCACTTTGGCAGAAACTCATTTTATAGTCAATAGGTCTTGGAAAAATTCAACCAGGGAATTAATTGGGATTGATCTGAGTTGTTTTCCTCTATGAACTTTGCAGACTTGCATTTAAATGTTTATTCCCACTATTGCTAGTAGAAACAATAACTGTGGAAATGGTAAAATTCCACTTGGATCACTTAATATTATTGCCCGTTCTTATCTTACTTGAGACACTGTGTCTATTATTTACTTGAACTGTTCTTTCCTTAATTTCATCCAGTTATGTCTAGACAGCATCTGTGAGTCTTGCCAAATATTCACCCCTTCATGTTTAACATATAACCTGAATGGTCTGTGATAGCACTGGTCAAAGTTTATAAACTCATGTCCTCCTAAGCATGCACATATCTGACCCCAAGCCGGAACTACTTTGTCCCAATTTCATTTCTTTGTTTAATTTACTTTCTAATATAGCCCATGGTCATCAATAATCTCTCCCTTTTTTTTAGAATTACAACTTTTTACTTCTGTTATTATATAGGAAGTAGGGGTTGCTGATATGAGCAACTAGGAATTTGCTAATGTGTATCAGTGTTTACCTTTCTCAGTATTTAAAAGGTTACCTCCCAAATTACTTATTTTGCTCTCCATTACAAAATTACAAAATGTTACTGGTGGGTATAACAATGGTTATTAAGTGGGAAAAGATTTGAACAATTCGAGGCAAAACTTGTTACCCTCAGCAAATTATATTTTGCTTACATTAAGACATTTAAAGCTGTGCTGTAGCCAAAACAGTTAAAAATCTAGGTATTTGTCTAATTTACAGTTACTGAGACAATAACTGAGTTGTAATTCAAGTGATACAGTTAGAACTATAGGTCTTGTTGAACTGGTTTTGTGAAGATATCCCTTGCTGAGTAACACATACTGCTTTTTTCCTGGTTGTTACCAAGGCTGTAGTTTGATGATAGTTAGGATGGTTTACAAGCAACGCGGGACTGATGGGATGTAAGTAGAACTAGTATAGCTTCCATTGTCTGCAAAGAGACCCTGGAATGAAGTACCTTCACGTGGGAGACTCCTGCTGCTTGTGGATCAATGGAATGAATGTCTGCAACTTGTAATGTATAGCTTTGGAAAATAGGTTGAAAATTGTTGGAAGAGGCAGTGGTTTAATCTACCCTTTTTGAAACTCATACAGAAGAACAGGATTGAATGGTAATTCTAAAATTGCTTTTTACCATCTACTCCAGCATTTCTCAACCTTGTCTACTTTAAGATGCATGGATTTCAACTTCCAGGATTCCCTAGACAACATGCTGGCTGGGGAATTCTGGGAGTTGAAGACCACACTTCTTAAAGCTGCCAAGGTTGAGAAACACTGATCTACCCTATTTCCATTCTGAGGTGATGATTGAGATGAACAAGGTCCGTGTGCTTCCAGATGGAGCACTACTAACAATGCTAAGCCAAAAGCATTGGACAATTCCGGCTTTTCCCTTAGTCTTTTTTTTTTTTTTTGCCCCTTGAAAAGAAGAAAGATTACAGAAAATGTGAGATTTTGCAAATGGAAAATTATGCCTCAGTTGCCCCCCCCATTAAAAAAAAATTCCATGAGTTCATCTGAGGAGGCAAGATATTTTCTGCCTCTTTTATGAGGCAGTGAGGCAGGTGACATCCATTTTGGGGATGCTGATAAAATGCAACAAATCATCAGGTATTTACTTCTACTCTAAAGAAATATTGTTTAGATTTATTGTCCTAGTATCCTGCTTATCGTGCAGTATCCACTGGCTTTGCATGATGAACAGCTCTCTGAATCAGTGGCACGAGTTATGATATTCGCTGAAACTTGCAATCCTTGAGGATCAGTGAGAGTAAGCGTAAGACGTAATGCCAGTGTGAAAGAAAAATCCCATCCCTCAAATAGTTTAAATTTAAAAATTAATTAATTTTAAAAATTGAAAAGCAGGAGTGGAAACCCTAAGTTTGATTCAGCACAGCTCTTCTTAAGGTCTTGGGAAACACTGGAACAATATATAATACAGAGAAAGAAGAGTTTGGAAGTTTCAAAAGTCAAGAGTTAACTCGAAGGTTCTACAGAGAATTTCCGCAAAAGGAATGGAGTCTTTCTTAACTTCAGCATTTTTTTTTCATGGCTATTAGGAGACAGAATGTATGTTTAGTATTGATTTTTGTTCCAATTGTTCAGTCTCCCAGACATGCCGAGGGATGCAGAGCCCTGGTGGTGTTGGAAAGAGGGTATCTTTTGCTAACCTCGGGTGAATGAAAGAACATGGTACAGTTTTCTTTTTGTCTTGAATCCAAGTACTGGCTGAAACGGCTCATCATAATTAGAAGCTTCTTAGCAGCTGCGGATAACCTTGAAGCTTGCACCGAGTCCTTTTTATTACCCTTGGCTCTCTGCTGCACTGTAAATAACGTCTCATTAAAAAATGAAAAGCTTTGTCTTCCAGCATTAACTTTACAAAAAGGTTACACTCTACATCCTGAAATGTATCTCTGGCTGAACCCAGTACTTCTCCTTCCCTCCGCTCCACTTAAAAAAATAGAGGAATTTGTCAAAAGCTTTTAGTAGAATGGCTGTATTTGGCTTAGCTGCAGTCAGCACCAATACTTAAGAACAGTAATGTTTCTGGAGGGGAAAAAAATTAGAAAGTGATTGAAATAAGAGTGAAGAGGAAATATTTATTCAGGAAAAAGTGCAAGTCTGCAATGGCTGAGCACATGTTGGAACACGTAAGTGAGTCATTGTTGCTCGTTACCACTTGCTTCCAGTGAGCAAAAAATGTGATCAGCCCTGCACATTTTCAAACTCTCCTTTTCTGAAAAGAAAGTATAGTAGATGAACGTTACTAGGAGAAATCATATGAGAACAATTGCTTTTCAGCTATAAACAGGAAGGAATGTTTTTATAGGTTCCTGCATTCCTGAACACTACATAGCCATGTCTTTAATTCATACAAAAGATTGCATTGGATTACATCAAAAGCCCACCTAACCTGGCCCTCTCCTGCCACATGAGCAACCAGATCTTTGTACAAATAAGAAACACAGGAATACCCTCCTACTAATGATCCTAGCTACAAGTACTGACTGACAGAGGGTAACTACTACTGAAGGGAACATATCTCCAGCATAACTAGTAGCCTTAAATGACCTTATTATACAAATGAACCTACAAATAGTGTGCTGTAAGTATGTGCCAATCCTTCTTTCAGCTAGCATGTTTGTTTATGGCACTGAAAAACTGACCAAGGCTTGACTGCAGGGCCCTTTATGTTTTTGCTGTCTCTTTACAGGAGCCCTTTACAACATATGGCTCACAGGTCACGTGACCCACCTTAGCTGCCTTGTGTGGCCCACCAATGTTTTTTAGGAAGGCAGTGAATTCACCGCCACCATGCATTGCCAGCTGCCTCAAAAGACACCCTGCCAAGCACCTCTGGGCCTCACCAACGCTGCCAGGTCCATCAGTGCTGCCATTCCACTAGCCACCGAACAGCTGATGGGCACACCAGCCATTCCTTTGTGGCCCACAATTATTTTTAGTCTATCAGCGTGGCCCTTTGCCCTCAGCGGGTTGTACAGGCCTGCTTTAGAGCTTCCTTTTTACTTAGGCATACCCAGCTTATGCCCATGCATTTTAGCACTGCTTTAGTGCTTTTTGACCTTCAAAACTCGTTCTTTCGTCATCATCTCCCTGGAACAAATAGGTGTGCTCCAGGATAATTCTGATGCAGGCTTGGGCAAGCCTCAATTTCAGAGCCCTGTGGAACTTGCCAACCAGGCACTGTGGTCTTTTGGGCCTTGGATTAAATCCTTATCCTTTTTCCTTTTGTGTTTTTCATGAGATGAAAAACTTAGAAGTTTTATTTTGCACCTGTGGTTCGCAAGGTATGGTTGGTAGACCTGCCTGAACCTGCCATGGACGTTTATATCCTCTCATAGTGGAATTCAAGCAGTTTCCTTAGAGTTTCCCCTTTATTAGGATGATAATTGCTTTGGAGGCTGCCTTTAGAATAAGGGTTCATATTGTATAAATTAAAGTAGTTACAAAGCTTCAGTGGAAAATACTGAAGTGCTTTATTTGAATGTAATAGTTTGGCATTAATTTCATCACTTGGTCCTTTTCTTCAAAATGTTTGCAGGGAACTATCTCTTTGGAAACATACACCAATAGAACAATAGTATAATAATTGAAATGATGTTTTAATAATGGAAAGCAAAGCACAGAGGTAAATGAAGAGTTTTTTTAAAGGTACTTTGCTATCTGATTTTCAGGACAGAATAAGAAGGCATTATTTTAGTATGTTTTCAAAGGGTTTTTACTATGCTATTTCAAGGTTTATTGTTGTATTGTTTAATGTTTAATGTTCATGACTTTAACAGTGATGGTAATGGTGCGAGCACTATTTTGTCAACCAGAATATAAACTGAATATCTCCAACGTAGTAAGTTATGTGCCAAATCAGTTCTTACTCAGAGAAGTACAAAGCA